CTATTCCCACCGGCTCTTCCTACACGAAGCGGCTGCAGTGTATACGTTGCTGCCATGCTCTGCCTTTGTTGGGCTCTGTCCTTCCCTTGAGGTGGGCACCAGCGCCCACCGTGTTCAAGGAAGACTTGAACTCCCCTCCCTTTATCACTAGGAGGTGAGATACTCGGATGTGGGGTAACAATGCAAAATGGAAATTACTCGGCTGAAAAAAATCTCAGAATCCAGAGAACTTTATTGAGTAACATAGATACAAAGGTGATACAGACAACCCAGAAATAGCTCAGTAGCAATGTTTTTTGCAGTGCCACATTATAAATAAAGCACATTAAGAAACCTTGCTGAGCCTTTTCAGCTTTTAGACTGTATGTTGCCAGAGACGGAGACAGTTTCACATTCGAATTGTCTGTATTATATAGATACACAAGTATTTCAAATCACTCTAGAAGAGATTTTTGTTAAATCTTTAAGCTACTATTGCTACTGTTGTATTAATCTTCAAAATCAGTGATTCTATTGCATTACCTTATGCTTTAGTTTGTCCACACCACCAAAACTCCAGCCACTTCTTCCCTGGGAAGTCCCTTTTAAAATATCTTGTTTAAAAGCAATAACAAAGGGGAAAAAAAAAAAAACCACAACAAAACCCATTCCTGGTATTGCACATCTCACACAAGTTTGTGTATATATATATATATATATATTTTAAATATGCTACAATTTAAAAAAGAAAAAGGTCTATGGCACTTTATAGAATACAAGTTTACGAAGTCAATCAAACCACAGATGTTTGAAGAATTCTTCAATACCACAAAAACTAAGTTAAACTGAACTAATTGGCACACAGGTTTTAAAGAATCCACAGCAAATTCTTCTAGATCCTATGCAGTGCATGTACATTAAGAAGCAGTTACACTCTGCAGTCCCCTCATGAAATTAATTAAATTAGCTTTAAGCTGATTTTTTTTTTCCTTCTTTTCCCCTCAAAATATCTTTGAAAGCTACTGCTGAGGTGAACTTCAGGAACAACTTTAAGCAGCTGTCAAATTTAATGAGTGCACCCTACACCTGAAAACCTCATCCAGAAAAAAAATCCGCAATATATACCATCTTATCACTTGCTAGAAAAACAGAACCCTGAGAAAAGAAATTCTGATTTTTTTTTTCTGCATTTCTTCCCAGCCTGTCTTCTATCTGTGCTATGTGATGAACATGGATATTCTTGCAAGTTAGTTTATTATGTTGTTGCAGAGCAAGTTGATAGTATACCAGCAACAAGCAGAAAAGCTGGTTCTTGTTTACAAATGCAAAGAAAAGCAAAACATGCCACTGAAAATACCTCCTTTGTACTTAAGAACAGCACTATTAAAATTTTTTAAGCGTTGTGTAGCTCACAGCAGAGGTCAGCTAGTAATGTAAATGGAGGTTGATCATTGTTTACTTCTAAGCCAAAGCAGTATACGCTCTCTATGCCTTTTGGAAGAACTGACCTTTGAGTAATCAAGTGCTCAAGCTAAAGCAGCATTTGTCACCCTAATATAGCATCAAGATTTGTTGGCAGTGGCACCATGGACACTGGATTGCTATCCACCTAAGAAAAGCTAAAACTAAACCTATTTCAGAATTAATTCTCAGCTGATTCATAAGTGACCCAATTCTTCCTAGCCCCCCTTTCCCAACTGCAGAGCCCCCACGAGCACAGCTGCACGGGCAGCCCGGCCTCTGGGGCGCACGCTCCAGGGGGGCACTCGGCAGGAGGGTGCAGAGGGGGGTGAGTCGCCTTGCAGCTGTGCTGGGCCTGGGCGCAAGCCTTGTGCACGCCCGTTGGGTGCGGTGTTTGTACATACGGGAAAAGAACAAGGAGAAAAACACAGGTAGGTGCGGACAGGATGCACTCGCTGTGATTTCTGTCCTCAGACACTACTTCGTGTCATAATTTTGATTGATTGGTTAAAATCTTGCTCTGTGCAGGCAGTTGGCAGAAATGGTTCCAGACCATAACTTTTGGTCTCTTTAATGTAAATATTTAAAAGAAGAGTGAATTACCCGTTTTAAACTAGAATACGGTGGACGTGGGTTGCAGGAGCAGGTGAATGCAAGAAGAGGCTAGACTAAAACAATCCCTTTTTACTATTGGCAGAAGTTGACCTTGTTCGTTGCACAGCGGCTCGGAGATCACCGGCACGTGGCTGGAAGGTGCACTGGGCACGGACACGTGCAGGCTGGGAGCTGGGCCTGGCTTGCTCCATAGATCAGCCGGGCCGAGGCGGCGTCCGTGCTGCACAGCAGGCACCGCAGGGGTGCCCCGACAGCGCGACTGCCAGCGTTCACCCTTGCTCGAGGCTGGCCCTGGGCTCACGGTCGTGACTGCTGAACAGCTCTTGTATTGCGAATCACTTGAGCAGTGTATTGAAATTAGCTATCTACCTGTACAGTAACAATGATTTTTTTAATACCTATAAATAACTAATGGCACACTTTAAGGGACTGACCAGGTGTAAACAAGAATCTCTGCTCTATATTATACAGTGAAGTGATGGAGAGCAACACTGTCACTGGATGATGTTAAACTACCGAGAAGTAAGGAGTCCAAAATTCACTTAGTATTTCATCAGAACTACTTCTTAGATGAATTATCCCCACTGCTCCAATGGCACAGTTGCATCATTATTTTTTAAAATACCTTTTAAATTTGTTTTCAGAAGTAGTTCTAGTAAGTGATGCAACACCACAAGTAATACAACTGACTGCCTTTGAGGAAGGAATGTCATTTGTGGCAAGGTCTGTTTTATTTCTGCTGATTTAGTTGGAAAAGGGTCCATACTACATGTGGTTTAAAAAAAAGAGGGGGAAAAGGTTCCCAGCCATGTAGAATTTGGCAAGACTTCCTGAAAAATGTAAATTTCTGAAGGACTCATGTAGCTCTGGGTCATGAGACAGACTGATCTGTGGGCTAGGAATAAGGTTTCACTGGCAAGAGAAAGAATAATACTGTTGAAGTCCAACATGTGATTTACATTTGTAGGAGAGGCTACAGCCCAGGCCAGGCTGTTGGCATTTACACCATAATGCCCAGGGGAGTTGTCATCTGCTTGGGATTTCAGGAGTTTTCACAAAGGCTGTAGAAATATTTCTAACAATGGTTATTTCAAACAATTTTATCAGAATTGGGGAAAGCCAGTGTAACAACAGCTTCTCTCTCTCGTCAATGGAAACAAAATCATTTACCCTTTAAGTAACAAGTGGCACACACCTTGCACTGTAAGTTTCAGGACAAAGAAACCTGGCAGGGACTCAACTTTTTAAATGCTTAAAGATTGGTGTAAACTGCATCATGTTAACTTTGCTTTCTCCAACATATACTTACTATCTGAGAAGGCACTGTACTTTAAGGAAGTTCAATATCAAAAAGCACCTCAGTGAAAAGTATGGTACCAAACCAGGTGGTGGTGAAATATTCACAGGTGAGGGGAGCCCTTGGAAACAAAGCCTAATTAAAAGAGGCTTTTCTTTTGTATAAGAAAAAAAGAAAATGTGCTGGCTTTTATTATTTTAAATCCAAATTCTTCAAAGTGACCAAGGTGGGTAAGGCAATCTGATCAATCAGAATTTG